TCTATCATTATCTTCTCTCTCTCTCTCTCTCTTATTTTTTTTGAGACAGAGTCTCACTCTGTCACCCATGTGGAGTGCAGTGGTGCAGTCTTGGCTCACTGCACCCTCCATCTCCCAGGTTCAAACTATTCTTGTGTGTCAGTCTCTCCAGTAGCTGGGATTACAGGCTCATGCCACCACATCTGGCTAATTTTTGTGTTTTTAATAGAGACAGGGTTTCATCATGTTGGCCAGGCTGGTCTCGAACTCCTGACCTCGAGTGATCCACCCACCTCAGCCTCCCAAAGTGCTGAGATTACAGGTGTGAGCCACTGCATCCTGCCCATTATCTTCTCTTATTCAACTTACTGAGGAGGAGTCTTCTGCTAGTATGATTTCTATTCTTTGACAGGTGACCTGTTTCTGACTGTTTCACTCTAGAAGTTTTCAAGAGCTTTCTTTTCTTCATAGTCACTGTTCTAACATTTCCTAATGATCTAGCAAAGTGTGAGGAGTTTCTTTCCCAGTCATTTTTTGTGCAGAGTACTCAGTTGACCCATTTTGCCTGAGACTATTATCTCATAATGTTGGGGAGACTTCTTGGTTATTTTTAAAAATAACACACAGTTGGGGCCAGGCACAGTGGCTCATGCCTGTAATCCCAGTACTTCGGGAGGCCGAGGCAGGCCGATCATGAGGTCAGGAGATCAAGACCATCCTGGCTAACACAGTGAAACCTCGTCTCTACTAAAAATACAAAAAAATCAGCTGGGTATAGTGGCATGCGCCTGTAGTCCCAGCTACTCTGGAGGCTGAGGCAGGAGAATCACTTGAACCGAGAGGTGGAGATTTCAGTGAGACAGGATCATGCCATTCCATTCCAGTCTGGGCACCAGAGTGAGACTCCATCTCGAAAAAAAAACCTTAAAAAAATTTGATAATAAAATAAATGTGTACAATATGACAGATATTCATATATTACTGTCCAGAATTAACAGATGTTAACATTTTATCATATTTGTTTCATATCTATATTTATTTCTGTCATCTATCCAAAATACCAAAGATCATCAACCATCATCACCTTTATCCCTCCCCAGAAGTAACCTGACGTTGGTGTGTATCATTCCTCTGCATAATTTTATGTTTTTATTACTTATAAATGTAAGTATGATCTATATTGGTGGTGTTTTGTTTGTTTTAAAGTTTTATATAAATAATATCATTTTGTTTTACAACTTCCTTTTTTTTATACATTATGTTTTTGAGATTTATATATGTTAATACGTAAAAATCTAGTTCATTCATTTGAACTGTCTATTGTCATCCATTATGTGTCAGTTAGGAAGTTTCCTCAGCTAAAAGTAATATAAAACTTGGCTAGCAGTTTAAATACAGAGTTGTTTTTCAGATAACAGTAAATCCAGGGATAAGCAGTCCAGAGCTCAGTGATATTCTCAGGAACCCAGATTTGTCTTATCCTCCTGCCTTGTCCTTAGCCTATGACTTTGGTCTTCATACCTGTCACCTCATTGTTGCAAGATGGCTGCTTTATCTCAAAGTCTCAAGGTGGAATGGTAAAGGACAAACTGTGCATTCCAACTGTGTCCCCTCCCCTCCCCTCCCCTCTCTCCTCCCCTTCTCTTTCAACAGAGTCTCACTCTGTCGTCCAGGATGGTGGAGTGCAGTGGCAGGATCTCAGCTCACTGCCACCTCCGCCTCCCGGATTCAAACCTCAGCTTCTGAGTAACTGGGATTATAGGCACCCACCACTATGCCCAGCTAATTTTTTGTGTTTTTAGTAGAGATGGGGTTTCATCTTGTTGACCAGGCTGGTCTCAAACTCCTGACCTCATGATTCGCCTGCCTCAGCCTCCCAAAGTGCTGGGATTACAGGCATGAGCCACTGCCCCTGGCCCCAAATGTGTCACTTTCAATGAGGAAAATAAAAGCTTTCCTGGAAGTCTTACCTAGTGGACTTCCACCTAAATCTCATTGGCTAGATAGGGTCACATGACTACTTCTAGAATCAGTGACTGGCCAAGGACAACCAGATCACCATGAATGGTTTATTTATTTTTATTTATTTATTTATTTATTTATTTATTTATTTATTTTGAGACGGAGTTTCACTCTTGTTACCCAGGCTGGAGTGCAATGGCACGATCTCGGCTCACCGCAACCTCCGCCTCCTGGGTTCAGGCGATTCTCCTGCCTCAGCTTCCTGAGTAGCTGGGATTACAGGCACGCGCCACCATGCCCAGCTAATTTTTGTATTTTTAGTAGAGACGGGGTTTCACCATGTTGACCAGGATGGTCTCGAGCTCTTGACCTCGTGATCCACCCACCTCGGCCTCCCAAAGTGCTGGGATTACAGGCGTGAGCCACCGCGCCCGGCCATGAATGGTTTATATAGATCCCAATTCATGCTTGAGCCTAGGGAAGGTGACTACTGGCAATCAAGGGCCCTGTGTCTCTACCTGAACAAAATGGAGTTTTATAATCAGGCAAGAACAAGAGGGAATGGATGTTGGGCAGTGTGGCAGAAATGCCAGATGACCACCCTATGCCCATTCTTCCTTTTTCCCTTACTGACAGACTCAATATTATTTGCCTAGTAAAAATTACTTTCCCAGAATCCTTTGTCATATGACCCAGGTGTGGTTTTCAGTAACCACATCTGGGTCACCTTTGTCAACAAATAATTTTTAGTAGAAGTATATGCCAAATATTGTACAGAACATATACTCAAAGTTATTTGTTATCTGAAATTCATATTTAACTGGGAAAACTGTGTTTATATTTGCTAAACCTGGCAACTCTATCCAGGAAGGAGGATCAAGGAAAAGTGAAGGGGATTTCTTCTGAAGATGGTTTATCTAGGAAGGGACTCCCTCCTCAGGTTCTTTCTCCTGTAGCTCTTCAGCCAGAGAGAGCTGAAGAGCATCTGAGGGAAGTGATTCTTTTTAGTTGGCCATAGTGTTACTGTGGCTGGAGCAGAAATCAGAAAGTCAGAGCAGAAAGGGGGATGGGCATCAGGGAAGTAGCTAGCAGCATCCTCTACAGGTGTCTTATACTCCCCAAATAGTTACATCCAGTGGTGATACTCAAAATATTTAACAACCAGCATGGCACTGATGCTGACCAACCAAAATGAATACCTGACCACTAACAATGAACACCAACCATCAACAGCCATACCAATACATGTTCGGTGGAATATCAACCCTGTTTCTATTGCTATTTTCAGGAAAATTAACACTCGATTTATTATGACTGTGTAAATATTGCTCACAGTTGAGTATAGTGTACCATGATTAGTTTTTCCTTTCCTTGACAAACTTTTTATATCCTTTTGCAGCAGTCAAACACAATAAGACCATTTTTCAGATCCAGGTTTTATCCTGAAGACATCCTGTCCAGAGCTCTAAGATGTGCCTGTTACTCTCTAGACTGCTGCAGGGTTCTTCTCTGGTGATTTGCCTTTGCCCGTTGTTTGTGGTGAATCCCATTTCCCAGAGTTAATTTCTTTCAAGATCTTTATCTTGCTAAAGTTCCTCCTGCAATCACTTCCTGAAAAAAAGGTGCATCAAAGGTAAATTTTCGAGATAGTTTATGTCTGAAAATGCCCCTATTCTACTCTCCCACTTGATTATAGCTTGATTGGGACTGGAATTCTAGGTTGGAAATAATTTTCTCTTACTTTTGGAAGCATGATTTTTTTTTTTTTTTTTGAGACGGAGTTTCGCTCTTGTTGCCCAGGCTGGAGTGCAATGGCGCGATCTCGGCTCACCGCAACCTCCGCCTCCTGGGTTCAGGCAATTCTCCTGCCTCAGCCTCCTGAGTAGCTGGGATTACAGGCACGCACCACCATGCCCAGCTAATTTTTTGTATTTTTAGTAGAGACGGGGTTTCACCATGTTGACCAGGATGGTCTTGATCTCTTGACCTTGTGATCCACCCGCCTCGGCCTCCCAAAGTGCTGGGATTACAGGCTTGAGCCACCGCGCCCGGCTGGAAGCATGATTTTATTGTCTTATAGCTTCCACTGTAGCAATTGAGAAATCTGATGTCAATTCTTGTTTCTGATTCTTGGTAGGTGACTTATTTTTTTCTGGAAGCTTTTAAGATCTCTTTATCCATGATGTCCTAATGCTTCACGATGTTATGACTTGGAGTGGATTTTTTAAAAATTAATTTTTCTGAGCCATGAGCAATTTCTTGCAATCAGAAAACTCAAATCCTTTAGTTCTGGAAAATATTTTCATGTTATTTCACTGATAATTTTCTCTCCACTATTTTGTTTAATCTCTCTTTTGGGAACTCCTATTACTTTCTTGTTGGGGCTTCCTGGATTGATCCTCTTGGTTTTCTTGTTTTGTCATATTATTTGTTTAATCTCTTTTTATTTGTATTCTATTATCTCATATAGTCCTTCAAATTTATGTTCCAAATCTTTTATTGAAAATTTTCTTCTAAGATATTTTTAATTTCCAAAAGTTCTTTCTTATTCTTTAAAAGCTTATAGGTTCATAGGTTTATAGCATTCTGCTTTTCTTGTCATGAATACAATGTCTTTTCTTGTCTCTGTTGTGAAGTCCTCTAATTTGGTCTTGAGAACTGTCTCTGAAAAGTAGCCAGAAACCAAGATAGCCACTTTCTAGGAGAGCTGTAACCAGGAGGAGAGTAAGGTTTAGATGTGTCAGTCAGGTGAGACACAATGAAACCAAAATACATAAAACCGAATAAATTTATTACTTACAGATCTCAGAGAGGTTAGGGGTTGCTGATGGGGTTGGTGGGAATTCAGGAGGCAGTAGGATGTTCAATCAGTGAATGGGGAAAGAGAGAGAGAGAGAGAGAAAATGCACTATATTGCAAACAATCACGTGGGGAGGGGAAATTTTGACAAGGCCAAAGGAGTACAACTAATTGGTTTTCAAATAACTTATGTCAGGCCAAAAAGTGGATGCCAAGGAAGCAACTATATTAAACAAACCTATGACAGTCTCCTTGAAGATATTAACTATCTATGTTTTTGTCTTTGTTTTGTCATCTTTGCATAGGGGCCATGCTAATCTCTGTATTATTCCAATTTTAGTATATGTGCTACTAAAGCAAGCACCAGCCGCATAGTTTTGAAAAGAACTTACAATTTTAAAAAATATATATATTTAGGGAGTACAAGTGCAGGTTTCTTACATGCATATATTTCGTTGTGGTGAAATCTGAGTTTAGTGTACTCATCACCCAAATAGTGAACAGTGTACCCAGTAGGTCACTTTTCAACCCTCACCCCGCTCCTACCCTCCTACCTTTTGGAGTCTCTAGTGTCTGTTACTCCACTCTGCATTCCATGTGTACCCATTGTTAGCTCCCACTTATAAGTGAGAACATGCAGAATTTGTCTTTCTGCTTCTGAGTTATTTCACTGAGGATAATGGCCTCCAGTTTCATTCGTGTTTCTGCAAAAGATGTGATTTCATTTTCTATGGCTGAGTAGCATTCCATTGTAAATAGAATAAATATATATATTTATATTTAATAATAAATGTAAATAAATATATATATTACATTTTCTTTATCCAATCCTCCATTGATTATACTTGGGTTGATTCCATATCTTTGCTATTGTGAATAGTGCTGCAATAAACATACAAGTGCTGGTATCTTTTTAATATAATGGTTTCTTTTCCTTTGGGCATATACCAGTAGTGGGATTGCTGGATCAAATGGTAGTTTTATTTTTAGTTGTTTGAGAATCCTCCATACTCTTTTCCATAAAGGTTATACTAATTTACATTCCAACCAACAGTGCATGTTTTCTCTGCAACCTGGCCTGTTATTTTTAGACTTTTTTTTTTTTTTCTTTTTGTGAGACAGAGTCTGACTCTGTTGCCCAGACTGGAGTGCAGTGGCATGATCTCGGTCTGCATCCTCCATCTCCCAGGTTCAAGCGATTCTGGTGCCTCAGTCTGAGTAGCTGGCATTACAGGTGCCCACCACCATGCCTGGCTAATTTTTATATTTTTAGTAGAGATGGGGTTTCACAATGTTAGCCAGGCTAATCTTGAACTCCTGACCTCAGGTTATCTGCCCACCTTGGCCTCCCAAAGTGTTGGGATTACAGGCATGAGCCACATGCCAGGCCTAGACTTTTTAATAATAGCCATTCTGACTGGTATAAGATGGCATCTCATTGTGATTTTAATTTGCATTGTCTGATGATTAGTGATATTGAGCATTTTTTATGTTTGTTGGCCATCTATATGTCTTCTTCTGCCAGATAGCTGTTCATGTCCTGCCCACTTTTTAATGGGGTTATTTGTTTTTTCTTTTTGAGTTGTTTGAGTTCCTCTTTGTCACATGCACAGTGTGCACATTTTTTTTTTCATTTTGTAGGTTGTCTGTTTACTCTGTTCATTGTTTCATTTGCTGTGTAGAAGCTTTTTAGTTTAATTAAGTTCCGTTTGTCTATTTTTGCTTTTGTGGCATTTGCTACCACATAGTTTTTAATGGTTTCTTTGGCTGCCTACATTGCTCCTGTTTCCTTGGACTTTTTCTTTTCCTGTTTGTTTTGGTATCTGTCATTCTGGTGATTCTCGGCTGGCTGTTCATATTTTTTTTTTTTTTTTTTTTGAGACGGAGTTTCACTCATGTTACCCAGGCTGGAGTGCAATGGCGCGATCTCGGCTCACCGCAACCTCCGCCTCCTGGGTTCAGACAATTCTCCTGCCTCAGCCTCCTGAGTAGCTGGGATTACAGGCACGCACCACCATGCCCAGCTAATTTTTTGTATTTTTAGTAGAGACGGGGTTTCACCATGTTGACCAGGATGGTCTCGATCTCTTGACCTCGTGATCCACCCGCCTCGGCCTCCCAAAGTGCTGGGATTACAGGCTTGAGCCACCGCGCCCGGCCCGTGATCCAGGAGGATCTATAAATGTTTATGAATGTGGTCCTGATGCTTGTGTATTGAACATACATGCGTATTTCACACACCCATGTTCACCTTGGGGTGGAGCCATATCATTTAAATGTATTACAGTTAGACAGTATATGTTAAAAGGTATTTGTAAGACACAAATGCGGCCAGTGCTTGTTTAGCTGCTAGAGGAAAAGAAAAACCTGTGGCAGTTAGAACACAGTTTATTCTTCAAGTGTAGGGGTGCAGGACTTAACTCTTGCCTGGCCTGGCCTGAGGTCTTGTTTATAGTTTGGTACTTTATTGCCATCAAGAGTCTGTTCTGTCAGTCTTATTCTCTATTTTAAAATAAATCCTGGTCAGTTGTGTCTACACTGCAAAAGGGAGAGGATATAACAAGGTGTGTCTGAACTCCTACCCTGTCTTGGCCAGGATTTCGTTTTTTAATGTATTTCTGAGGCCCCCTTGGCCAAGAGGGAGTCCTTTCAGTGGGTGGGGAGGCTTAGGATTTTATTTTTAGTTTACAACTCTTTTGTACCATAACAAAGCGTCAATAATTATCAATACATGACGGATTGTGGCACCTTCCCACAATCATTTTAATCGCATTGATTAATTTAGGTTTTCTAATTCTTTTAAAGCCAATTTTGATACTTCTATTATTTATGTAGTGAAGTACCCATTTATTAGCCTTGTGGCTAAGAGCTCTAGTTCCAGAAACAGATTGTCTGGATTTGTTTTTCCATGCGGGTAGTCATTTAAGCTGTCTGTGTCTTGAGTTTCCTCATTTGTCAAACGGGAATAATAATGTTATTTATCTCATAGGGTTGTTGAGAAGATTCAATTAAATCATACATGTAAAGCACTTAAAATAGTGTCTGGCACATAGTAATGTCAACTATTGTTATTTAAGTTTTAAAATTAATTGACATGAATTTTTTAATGGAATTATATTACAATTTTTAAATTCTCTGCTACATTTTCAGTTATGTCCCTTTTTTATTCCTAGTGGTGTTTACTTATAAATATTTTCTTTTCTTCTGATTAGTCTTACATAGATTGCCTTTTTTTTTTCTTTTTTATTGAGACAGAGTTTCACTCTGTCACCCAGGCTGTAGTACAGTGGCACAGTCATAGCTCACTGCAGCCTCAAACTTCTGGGCTTATATAATCCTTCTGCGTCAGCCTCCTGAATAGCTAGGACTATAGCACACCATCACACGTGGCGTGCATATATATGTATATTTTTTTTCTACAACATACATATAGTAGAGATGAAGTCTTAATATGTTGCCCAGGCTGGTCATGAACTCCTGGCCTCAAGCAATCCTCCTGCCTCCTGGCCTCCCAAACCAGTGGAATTACAGGTGTGAGCCACCACATCTGGCTCAACTATATTAATAATCTTTTAAATTAAGTATCTTTGGAATTTGTTAACCATCTTATGGTTTCAAATTCTTTATTTCTTTCTTCTTTGTTTCTTTCTTTGTTTCCTTTCTTTTTTTCTTTCTTTCTTTCTTTCTTTCTGTCTTTCTTTCTTTCTTTCTTTTTCTTTCTTTCCTTTCTCTCCCTCTCTCTCTCTCTCGCTCTTTCTTTCTTTCGAGACAGAGTGTCACTCTGTCACCCAGGCTGGAGTACAATGGCAATGTCTTGGCTCACTGCAACCTCTGCCTCCCAGGTTCAAGCAATTTTCATGCCTCAGCCTCCCAAGTAGCTGGGAGGCATGTGCCACCACGCCTGGCTAATTTTTTGTCTTTTAGTAGAGACGGGGTTTCACCATGTTGCCCAGGCTGGTCTCAACTTCTGAGCTCAGGCAATCCACCCATCTTGGCTTCCCAAAGTGCTGGTATTACAGAAGTGAGCCACTGCACCTGGCCCACTTGATAATCTTCTATTTCATTGTTTTCTGCTTTTATCTTTTATATTTACATTGTTCTAATTTCTTTTTCTGTCTTGTTCTTTTTCTAGCTTCTTTAGTTGAGTGGTTGTCTTTTTTTTCTTTCTTCCCTTTTTCCTTAATTTCTTCCTTGTTTCCTTGTTCCTTCTAAGTATGCTGCATCCTACAAGTTTCAATATGTTGTAGTTGTAAATGTTGAGTTCTAAATATTTAATAATTCCCATTGTGGTTTCCTATTAAACCCATTATTACAAATTATTTTATATATAAGCATATTTATATAAAATAATTTTGAATGATGGGTTTAATAGGAAACCACAATAGAAATTTGACTTATATATGTATATACACTATAGAAACACAATGAATTTACTTTTGTGAGACCTTTCTGTGATCTAGTATATGTTCTCGCTTTGTAAATGTGTCATTTGTACTTGAAAAGGAAGTGTGTTCTCTATTTGTTGGAAATTATTCTTCAATTTGTTTATATGTCCTTTTTTTTTTTTTTGAGACAGAGCCCTGCTCTGTTTCCCAGGCTGGAGTGCAGTGGTGCAATCTCAGCTCATTGCAACCTCCACCACCCGAGTTCAAGAAATTCTCCTGCCTCAGCCTAGCAGCTGGAATTATAGGTGCATGCCACCACACCCGGCTAAGTTTTGTATTTTTAGTAGAGATGGAGTTTCACCATGTTGGCCAAACTGGTCTCAAACTCCTGACCTCAGGTGGATCTGCCTGCCTTGGCCTCCCAAAGTGCTGGGATTATAGGCATGAGCCACCACACCTGGCTATATGTCCTTTTGTCTTAGTTTTTTATCTGTATTGAAGTCTCCCATTATGATTGTGGATTTGACCAGTTCTCCTTGAAATCCTACCCTTTTTAATGTATACATTTTGAGGCTGTGTTCCTTTTACTTTATAGTCATGAAGGTGAAGGAGGAGAAGGCTGGGGTAGGAAAGCTGGATCCCACTAACCACAGGAGGAGATTTCCGGATCAGAAAGGTGAGGTCACTTTGAGGACTTGATGCAAATCTTAGAAGGGACTGAGAATTCTCTGGGTGTCCAGCTCTTTCAGCTGGAGAGTCTAGGGAGCAGATTCCTTTTCCTGACTCATACACAGTGTCTCCTTAAAGCTGGTAGGACCAGCCTTCATGGTATCCCCAGGTGACTGCATGGTCAGGCCGGAGACAAGAAACTGCCACTTTGCCTATGTGGATTAGAACATAACTTCCTCAACACAAAATTTAACTCACCTGATTTTGCAAGATCTACAAACCATAATATATGCCAAATATCAACATTTTA